CCAGAGCCGGAATCGGCAGCCCCTGGTCTTGGGAGACAACATCTTTGCAGACTTGGTTGGGAACTGGTTGGATCTGCCAGAGCTGGATAAGAAGGGGGAGAAGAGCGAGGCATCCCTGTCCACGAGCAGATCCCAGGAGCTCTGCAGGAAGTTCTCCCTCACAGCCAACATCTTCAAGAAGTTCCTGAGGAGCGTTCGGCCGGACCGAGACAGGCTTCTCAAGGAGAAACCTTGCTGGCTTCCACCTGAAGACAAACAGCCTGAAATTTCTAAGAGGCCCAAAAAGATGAACAAACTCAAGGGGACATTTTACTTCCCACTTCATGGGACCATCCAGAACCATCACAGCAAAGCAGAGAGGTGCCCAAAGGCAGAACGCGATGGTGAGAAACGCAAAACTGGCACTAAGAAAGTCCAGGATGCCCCAGACTACTCCCAGTCTGGGTTTGACATCAATACAGCTGTTTGGGTCTGAGTTTGTCGATGTCCTCTGCTCACACTGGAGAGGAGCTGGAGGCCGTACGTGTCTTCTCAGGAGACCCCCTGAGCTCTCAACGTGGACTGAGGAGTCCTCTGCAAAACATCCTGTGGGTTTCGGTCGCCTGCAAGTGCTGTTTTCTGGAGAACTACAGCTTCAGGGGCAGCCCGAGCAGCAGCTGACAGCCCACGTGGGGAGGCTTTTGGGGACACATATTTGCAAAAATAATCAGAATCTATAGCAGCTGTAGGGTGAGCGATGCCACAGACAGCCAGCTCCTGGAGCCTGGCTTGTATACCACCAGCCCCTTCAGGCCCATTCCATCAGCTCTGGTTAAAACAGCTGCAGCCTAAAATCCACTGTGTGCATGTGCGTGTATGAGTGTGCAAATATATATAGAGAGAGGGTTTTTTTTTTAAAAAATCTATTCCTGCTTGTGTGCACTTAAAACTGGGTCATAAACCAGGCAATCCAAGCATTGTACCTGAAGCACTTGTTATTTAAATTGAAGTTAGTTGGAGTTTGTAAGACTTGAGCTAAGTGGGGGTGTTGAACCCCAGCCTTGTTGCATTTCCCCCTGGAGTGCATCCCCGGGGCTCTCCCAGCATCTCCCCTCCCCTGTCAGTTACACCAGCAGGACGGGGGCTCGGCTCCTGGAGGCAGCGACCCCCACGCTCACACCAGGGACAGCATTGCCAAGTTCAGCTGTTTGTGGGGGTTGTAGGAGACACGGAGTCGCAACAGTCGGTGGTGGTGGTTGTTTCCTGTTGCTGTTGTGTACAGAGCCGAGCTGCGGCCGCCCAGGGTCACCAATAAAGTGTCATCATCTCCCGCCTGCTGTGGGGCTGACTCCGTCCGGGGGGACTGCCACCATCACCATCCTGGGGGAGCATCACCATCCTGGGGGGACTGCCACCATCCTGGCGGGACTGCCACCATCCCGGGGGATCGTCACTGTCCTGGGGGGACCCCGAGTCCTGCTTTTCTCTGGCACAGAACCCTCGTGGTTCCAGTCCCGTGGGCGCGGGAGGCTCGGTCGGAGGCTGGCCCATGAAGCGCAGCAGGGAGAGGAGCTGCAGCCAGGTCCCTGCCAGGGCCACCCTGCAGCCCACACACATCCCCGAGAGCCACAGGGTGACACTTCAGCGTCCACCTTCCTCCCCCAGGACGGGGAAGGACGGAGGGAGACACGTTTGGGAAGAACCACCGCTGAGGGAAGGGCCCTGGAGCCGCGCGTTCCCTGCCTGGCAGAGGGGCAGGGGGCACAGGACCCCACAGCCACACAGGCCCTGCCACGGGTCCCCTCACCACTGTCCCGCCGGCAGCTCCACGAGCCCCATCTCAGAGCAGCGCAGACCCCGTCGGTCGTGTCCCGGGGGCCACCAGATGCTTCGTGTGCACACCAGTGTTATGTTGCAAAAACCTGTTCCCCTCACTCCGAGCTGAGGAAGGGCTGGTGCACGAGCAGAGTATTGGGTTTGTTAAACATGCGATCCTATTCCTGTTGTAACTTCCTCAGGCAGAGAGGCCAGTGGAGCAGAGGCGTAGGGAGAATTTTTTTCCCCTTGCAAATTAAATATAGGCACAAGAGGAGCCCCGTTTCTGCCCATACAAGGCGAGGAGTGGGTCAGCATCTGAGGGCTGCGCTCAGCGCTAGGCTCAGCACTTTTTCAGGAACCTGAGTTGCAGGCAACCTTTTGTTTTCCCTTCTCACAGGCTTTAAGTTTGGTTGTTTTCCCTTTTCTTCATTGCTCTGAATGCTGAAAGGCTGTTTGTGAAGCATTCTGTTTTCCTCCTCTTTTATCAGTAGTCCATCCTGTTTGTTGCACATACACCCCCCAGCTCCCACCAGCCCTTCCACAGGGTCAGTGAAGAGGGGAAGGAGATTTCTATAAACGAGCACAGGAGAGAGAAACAGCTTTGTCCTCACCAGCCTCAGTCCCTGCAGAGCGTGGCCTCTCCCCAAGGCTGCCCAGGCACAGCTCAGGGGACCCAGCCCGGGCTGGGGCAGCAGTGGGGAGCGTGGTGGCATCACCTGTGGAACCCCCATCCCCAGGAGCACGTCCCAGCCGTGCCTGCCTGGCGCTGAAGGCTGAGCCCCACGGGGAGAGGAGCCCCACACTGGGTGGGGAGAGGCTCTGGGGAGCTCAGCACCCACACCAGGGGCTCTTTAAGCTTGTCACTGAGCATTGCCCTTAGCTGTGGTGAGTGTGGTGGGCAGCAGGCCGGGGCCTGGGCTGAGCATCCACGGCCACCTTTTGGCTGGGAGATGGAGGGTACGTTTCTGCAGGTGGTCCCCTCTCCAAGGCCATGCACTGCCCAGGAAACAGGATGTGTTTATGCAGGACATGGGGAGTTCTGGATTCTGAAATGCACGTTGGGAGCCTAGTCTGTGGGAAAAGTGGTTCTTGGGGGTTTGTCACCCCACCCAGTGCCCACCCCCACACCCCACCGAGGCTCTGCAGCCCTGGGCATTACAGACCCAGAGCCACTCTGCCAGCAGACCTGGGCCCCTGCAAGCGCTGGGACCCCCGGCAGGGCTCAGTCCCGGTGCT